TGCGGAGCTGCTGCTCTGCGGGAAACAGCGCCGGAGGCGAAGGAGTGTTCGGTCGTTTCTGGATTACGGTGCTGAAGGACTTTCCTGCAAGAATTAGCGAGACTGACGCCGAGAGCTGCCGGCGCTGCTCAATTTTTTTTCTTAAGAGACTGATTTTAAGCGTTGCAGCGCAGGGATGCTCTTCGCCTTTGGGGCAGCCGAGGATGGGAATGCAGAGAGCTGGCACCTCACGGGGTTCGTGCCGGTCTGAAAATATGTTTGAGCTTGTAGCCCTCTTGCTCTGCTTTGTGTGGAATATGCTTGAGCTTTTGCTGCAGCCAGGACTCTGCGATTAACGATGCTGCACAACTGTGAGTCTTCAGAGCTGGGTGGGATTTAGTGCCTGGTTTGAGGCAGGAATGAAGGCAGGTTTGGATAGCGGCTCTTCAGCTTAAGCTGCTGTACCACTGATGTGCTCTCCTGTATGCTGCTATTACTGCCTGCAAAATTCCGGATGTCCATGCAGTTTTAAGCCTCATCCATTGAGGAGAACAAACCAGTCTAGAGGGAGTCAGCAAAAATATCCAGTAGGTTTCTGTTTGACTTTTTTGATATCCATGTGATTTATCTAGAAGAGTCAATTCATGCAAGAATATCCAGTTACAGAACTTTCAAGGCTATGAGAGAACGCAGCCAGCAGAGCCTCAGTGGACACGTCCTGTATGTAGGGTTATTCAGACATCCAGGAATGCTGCACAGGTCTAAGTACAGCCGATTCAGGAATGATTCGATAACATCCCTAGATGAAGGTACACAAAATACGTCTTTAAATATCAAAGGTTCTTCTTCCTCTTCCCATTCTTCAACACCTAATTTACTGACAGAAGATGTCTCCTTGGGGCCACAGGACACCTGCACCACTCTGTGCACACTGATCCCTCGGATGGCTAACATTAAACTTGCCAACCCATCAAATCTGCCAGGGCTGAAAAGCTTCTGTCTGGGAACGAAAGAGGTGCCACGAATTAAACTCACAGAGTGTGTGACCATCCCAAGCAGCCCAACCTCACCTGATATCAGCTGTCTCTCGGCTTCTTATCCACAGCCCAGCTTGGACAGGCTGGCCCTAACCCCAAAGCCAGTATGGGACTGTGCCGTGCGGGGAGCTGAGGAAGCTGCCTCTGTGGGCAGGCAGGACAGGAGCCTTGCACAGAGCAGTGAAAGTGTGGGGGAGCCAGGAACGACCTATGGTGTGCGGGTGAGTACTTCTCACAGGGTTTTCATTCTCTGACAAAGCAAACTGCTCAAGTGGCTGCAGGGTGACCTCTGTGTTCCCATTCCTGGAGTCAGTGCCACAAACCACTGACTTCTCCTGTACATTTCTTGTCTCCTGAGAGGGCTGTGGTGTCCGACTGAGGGAATTAAAAGGACCACAGCTGCTCCCAGAGGTAGCACAACATCCATTTCCAAAAGACTATCTTTAGAATTCCTGAGTAGTGCAGCTGAGTTGCAATTCAAACAGGGATTGCTTTAGCCTGAAATGCGCGTTGGAGGGAGAAGGAGGCCCACAAAAAGGGCTTCCCATACTTGGCAGAGCAGGACCCAGATATTAGGTGCATGCTGGCCCATGCTAGTGATGTGTTTGTCGTAGAGGGTGTGGGAGAGGTGCTGAGACCACTGCTGCTGCGCAGAGCACCTCTCCTCGGTGCCTCCTGCCCTGCCTGAGAGGTGAGTGGGCAGGATGCAAAAGCCGCCTTCCTACTTTGATGCTATAGGGCTGCATCTGATTTTCTTGGTAATAATGATGTACAGAAAATCCTGCCTATTTCTTCGGAAGACAGCCTGAAGTGGCCTTCCTGGGTGTGACTTACAGTGACAGTGCAGGGGCCAGCGCAGCTCCAGGAGCTGCACTTTTGGCTGGCCAGCCGTAGGGCCTGTGCTGGCGGATGACATCGAGATGCCCAGTGCCCACCACACAGGAGCTGCCTCCGGTGCTGTGGTTTGAGCAGTGCCCAGTGCCCTTGTGATGAAGGCTTTGAAGTACCTATAGAGATTCAAATACTGAAATGCTAATGCCAGAGGCGCATTTAAAGAATTCAGCTTTTGACTTGGGGAGGAGACCATGAAGTGCAGGGGGAATTTCCCAGGTTTCTGTTGTGGCTCAGGGCTGAGAGCAGAGGCACCGAGGTGTCACCAGCCAGGGAGCGCGTGAGCAAGAAAGGCTGAAGAAAGAATAAAAATAAAGAGAAAGGCTTGATGGAAAAGTATCGTGAAGTGCTTGTCCCCTCCTGTGGCTCCCCAGGGTGTATTTCCAGTATCATTTCCTGATGATCTTTCTGGAAGTCACCCCATCTCATGGGGAATGTCTCTGAAGGGGGAATCAGTGGTGGGAGCCTCCCAGTGCAAGGGAAATGTTGTTTTCCTGCATATTCCCACAACTTTTGCTCCTGTGGCAGTGGGTCTGTGGGAGCTAGACCTAGGAGAGCTGCAAGAGTATTGCTGATGTGTTCTGGCCCAACTTCTGGTGTCTTTTTCAATCTCCTTTAATAACAAGCAGGTCGGTAAATAAGCAACCACAGTGTTATCTTTCAAAACATATTTATAAGCAGTTTACTGCAGGATTTATGAGATGAATATACACCTTGTCCTTATGTTCTACCTGCTACATGCCTTCCCACAGCACTGTTCATCCAGAGCCAAGGTTGTCTCTAAATAGTGCCCATAGTGGCCATGGCAATTGTATCTCTTGTTGGTGTTTGTTATGGCTGTTATGAGCCCAAGTAATATTCCAGGAGGCACTTGCCACCTTTGCTCCTGCTCACTGGGGATGTGGCTGCTCCTGAGCAGATTAAGACCTGGCTTTCAGCATTGTCCTGCATCAGTGGCCCCTCTGAGACCAGTGAAAATACGCCTGATGGTGTTACTGGACCGAAAATGGAGTAAGGCTCTGTGGCCAAGCCTAAATCAATAATGCATGAGTCTTTGATGGATGATGCTCAGATTGGTTTTAAAATGTGCTATTTAAATAAAATATGGTAAGGAAATGCTGTTGCCAGATATTATAAAGTATAATGGTATAATAATAAAATAATACGGTACAGGTTGTTTGCAGCATCCTTTGTCTTAAAGGAGTTTTACCAGTATGCAGGTTGATCCTCTGCTAGCAGTTTGATGCCATATACATAGAGATACATGCTATCATATATATAAAATCAGTTGCTTTTCTCAGAGTAAAACGAGCCTGACTACTTCTAACATGGGAGTTCAGAATGACACGAAGTATGCCTGGA